TGATGTCATGTGAGATGCGGCACCAGTGTCCACAACCCAGCTTGACTCATCACAAGCAATATTTATCATATTTGCATCAAGGACGGTAACAAGATTTTTAGTGGTGACGGTGGCTAGGCAATTTTCATTGCCATTCTTCTTTAGTTTCCTCTTTGTTTTTGTTTTCCCTCTTCAACTTTCTGCAGAACTTCTTTCGTGTGCCCTTTCATGCCACAATGATTAGCACTCAAAATCCTTAAGTCTGCCTCTGGATTTGCTCCTATTTTGTTCTCTATTCTGAGAACCACGAGTTTTGTTTCTCCTCCTGGAGCCAGTTATCAGGACATCCGACGAAGAAGAACCTTGAGATTTTCTTCTCATCTCTTCATTCAAGACACTACTCTTGGCGGAATCCATAGAGATCACATCATCCGGAGCAGAGTTTGACAATGAAATTCTAAATGTTTCCCAAGAGTCTGGTAGGGAACCAAGTAGAAGCAAGCCTTAAATTTCTTCATCAAATTTGATGCCCATAGCAGATAACTGGTTCATGATCCCCTGAAAATTAATGGTCTGTCATCGGAGAACCATCATGATACTTTAAACTCAACATCTGCTTTTATTAAGAACATTTTGTTGTTGCCAGTCTTCCGAGCATTCAAACTTTCAAGATGCTCTCATAGGGTTCGAGCATGTGTCTCCCCAGAAATATAGTTCAACACATTATCGTCAACTCATTGCCTAATGAATCCACAAACCTATATGTTCAACATATTCCACTCTTCATCTGTTTTATTATCAGGCTTTACAGTGGTAAAGACTGGTTTGTAAAAATTCTTGACATAAAACAGATCTTCCATTCCCCCTTCCAAATGACATAATTAACACCATTCAAAGTGACCATTCTACTTGTGTTGGCTTACATCGTTTTCCCCCCAAAAAATAGTTATTGCAAACCAAAGTAAATCTTTTATGATGTGGAAGTTCAGACTGTGCTGCAAACACAGAGCATACTCAGATAAAACCTTGGCTCTGATACCAGTTTGTTGGGAAAACACGGACTAACACAAAAATATATATGGTCAAAATAATGAGAATAAAATGAGAAAATAATGACACCAAAAAATTTACGTGGAAACTCTTCTAAATAAGGGAAAAACCACGGGCCAAGAGGAGCAACTGATATCAATATAGTAAGGAATTTTACACCATGTAATCACGAATACAATACTCAAAGTGACTACTATACACTCAAAATGAATAACACTCTTTTGATTCCACCTTACTAAAATATCGCGCACATACTATTTTTCTTATATAGTCTATGGAATACCTCACTTTGCTCTCAAAATGATTTTTTCTCTCTAACTTGGTGTGTTCTACAAATGAGCAAGAATGCTCTATTTATAGAAGAAATCTACTCCTAAAGATGTCACTAATCACATCATGAAAATACCAAAAAATCAAACTTTGCAACTATGTAGTTATCTTGATAAGATTTAGTTGGTATGTAGTTGTACCAAATTAAGACTTTAATAAAAATGGGACTAGAACCCACAATTTCTACTTTGGAGTCTCGTGTGTGGTCTTTTTTCTTCTTTACTATCAAAGGGACTTGGTGCACTGGAGTGGATGAGACCGACTTTTTGGATATGTAAATAATCTTTGGTAGGAGGGTTAATCCAAATGAGCCCTATCTAGTGTAAACTCAAATTAGTGACTCCAATATGATTATGAAACACCGAATGGAAAAACAAAAAAAATGTGTGGTCTTCTTTTCACTTTTATTCCTTTTTTTGGAAAGGTCAGTGATGCTTGTATTTAATCTTTAGAATAAAAAGGGTTGCATTTTTTTTATTAAATTAGAAAAATTAAACTGTTTTTTCTTTTTGGTTTGGGCTGATTTAAATGATTTTTTTTTAAAAATAACTTATTTTATATATAATTCTTCACATATGGAGTCTACCATCTTTTTATGATATTATTGTGCAGGTATATTCTTGTTAGCCTGTTGCATTATGTTTTTTAGGAGACTTAGGGGTATTAAAATTATCTCATCAAATACGTATTTGTATAATTATTTTATTAAATATTGTTTCAATCATATGGATTGAATTTAGAGAACATATTTTTTAGTGTCGTTTGGTTGGGAACAAGTTATTCTAGGATTAATCATCCTGAATTAGCTATTCTGGGATAACTCCCAAACATAGCAACAAAACAATATACAAAAATTTTATTCCATCACTATTAATTTTATCCCTCACACCAATGACCAATCCATGACAGTACTGAAGCAGCTAGCTATTGGTTGAGATAAGAATGGAATAGAGACATGAAACTTTTGGAGTACACAGCTCAACTAACACTTTTTTTGAAATGTAAGGCTACCTAGTTTCCTTTTTTTTTCCACATTACCTAGTTTCCTTAATACAGAGGGAATTAATACCTATCACATTATCTCAAGAACTATATATCAAGGATGAGCACCTTTCTTTACTTAATAATTAAAGGATAGTCATATACCACTAAAACTCATGTCCCACCTTATGAGTTATGAGGAACACTTTTTTTTACTCCTTTTTTTCCAACAAAAGCCCCACATTTGAAAAATGAAGAGGGTTAACTATTTCAACTTAATTAAAGGATAAGCATATATATGCCAGTGTTTCCTAATTGCCCTATATACATAGATAGCAACTCATTTCGACTCTCCCAAATCGAAGGAAATCGGAGTCTCTCGTGTGTGGTCTTCTTTCTTTACTGTCAAAGAGACTTGGTGCAACGAAGTGTTAGGATATACTATTAACCATGCGTTTTGATATAGTATTATTATTGAATAATTGTTTATTCATTTATTCAATTCAATAAAGTGTTACATTAAATAGATCAATTGTCATATATGTGTCCTTAACTTATATAGTAGATGATTTAGTGTATAGAGTTTAAACTTATACACAGAAGATTAAATCATCGGTTCTTATAAGTTAAAAGTTATAGTTCACAATCATAGATGGAAATTTTGGACAAAACCATCAGAAAGATTGTAGCACGAGATTAAATGTAATCTATCTTGATTATGAGAATGGTATAGTTCTAACTTCTCGTGCTAGTGCATTTTGTATGTATTGAACGGGACCAAGCAGAGATAGATGTTTTAGACTGACTGATAAAAACATATTCTCTAAACTGTTAAATGTACTTATATTCTTAATCTTGATATAACGATTATGATCTGTATATATTAATTATTGTTTTGATTTATTAAAAGGTGAGATTCTGAGATGGGTCAATATGCCTGGTAGATTGGATGATAATAATATATATTGGTGAAATAATTAGTTAGTTGATGGAATCCATGTCTCAGTATAGAGATTGATGATACACCTTTTTATGAGAAACTTATAAGTTTTCATGTGTAAACCCGGCCGGTAGATTTATGAATCTGGCACATGAAATAAGTTAAGTGTTGCTCTAAAGGAAATTAATCATTGAATTAAATTCGTCAGTAATTTAATTTATTGATTAGTATCTGGAATCTTAACATGGGGAATTACATAAGTGTTTAATGGTGAATTTC